GAGAGAGAGAGAGAGAGAGAGAGAGAGAGAGAGAGAGAGAGAGAGAGAGAGAGCGCAGGATAGAGGTCTGGTGTGCAAATTCCTAAACAAAGTATCAAAGGAAATCAGACCCAGTTGGGAATAAGCACCCAGAATGCACTGCCTTGGCCTCCATTGTCGCCAACTTCCTAGAAAAAGAAAGTGTTGACCTAAACTTAATTTCAAAATTAAAATGTGATTACTTTTAGTACTGAAACTTAAGAATTAAACATTTAAGGTATGAAAGGACAAAAACCTCTCCCAGCTGGGTTTTCATTAGTTATTTTAGTTTATATAAAGTATCTGTGCATAGAAGACTTAATATTATTGGCTTAATATTATTATATACATGATATAAAACATACCTATCCCTTGAAAAAACACCTAGACTTCCAAATGCTAACATACACATCATTTATTTAGTCTTTGATATATACACAATATATAACTGTAGTATGATATATACATAAAATATGTAAATATATGTACAATAAAGGTGAGAACATGTGCTATCAGTGTGCCCAGTGCTGGAAGTGAGGGAGTAACAGGAGATGGAGAGACCACCCACTCTTCCAATGCAGCAGACGGGCAGCAGACACGTGACCACAGTGTGCTAGAGAGGTGTGTCTGTGCAGCAGGAGAGGCAGGAGAGAGAAACGAGAGTGGGGAAGCAGAGATGTCCCCAGAGTACGCATTGGGGTGCGTGGGGTTTTAACAATGACTCACTGCCTACAATCTTCTCAAAGTCGTACTTTAGAATTTGAAGTTTCTTTTAGAAAAAATTTTTTCCTCAAATGGATAGCAGCTTGGTCAAAATTTAAACACACTATTTCCCTTAGCGGGAATGAATGGCTGGCTCTCTGGATCCTTAGCAGGGATGAACAGCTGGCTATCTGGATCCTTAGCGGGGATGAACAGCTGGCTATCTGGATCCTTAGCGGGGATGAACAGCTGGCTATCTGGATCCTTAGCAGGGATGAAAAGCTGGCTACTGGGTCCTTAGTGGGTAGTAACAGCTGGTTATCTAGATCCTTAGCAGGGATTAACAACTAGCTACTGGATCCTTAGCGGGGGAGGGGGGACTAACAGCTGGCTACTACTGTATCCGCTATCTGGATCAATCCAGGAATTTGTTGACAAAGGAACTGGCACCAAATGAAAGTGTCCTGCACCCTCTCCCACCCAGCAGGGCGTCACTGCTTCAGCAGCTCCTAGAAACGCTCTCTGCCCATAATTTTACTGCGGCTTTCAGAAGCTTTGATTTGAGACACACTGGGCTTTAACAAGCTGCCGCTGGTTGCAGGGCATTATTGGAGCTGTGTGCACTGTGTAACAGTCCGTCCCATCAATCCTTTCCATTTCCCTATCCACCAGCTTTATCCAGGCCAGCACTTCCACTTGCCTCCCTGCACAAGATACCATTTCCACATAGTGCCCAAGTGACCCTTTATGAACACAGCTCTGATGGCCTCTCCGGCTGCAATCTTCCCACTACTCATTATAGCACTTAAAACCAAAGTCTTAATGGGTGCAGGGCTATTTCTGTGGTGATAAAATATGTCCTGAAAATGTATCAAAGTGATGGCTGTGTATTTCTGGATATACAGAAAACCACTAAATTGCATTTTACCGTTTGTTTTGTTTTGTAATGTGAGATAGTCACACTAAGTAGCCCTGGCACACCTGGAACACACATCACACTTCTGTCTGCCTCTGTCTGCTGAGTCAGAGGATTAAAGGCTTGGACCACCAGGCCTGGTATAAATTGTATATCTTTTTAGAGATTTATTTATTATTCTATACATGAGTGCTTTCCTGCACATCTGTGTATGTAACACATGTGTGCCTGGTGTCATGGAGACCAGAAGAGGGCACTGGATTCCCTGGAACTGGACTTTATAGACAAAACGGCAGAGCCATAGGAATGCTGGGAACTGAACTCAGGCTCTCTGAGAGAGCAGGAAGTGATTTAATCACCAAGTCACCTCTCCAGGTCTTAGGAATGGCATATTTTTTAAATGGTTGAGAATTTTATACGTAAATTATGTTTCAAAATTTTTAAATTAAGGGTGATGAGAGGAGAGCTGGAGGTAACAACAACTAAAAGTTATTATATAAACTATGAAAGTGACAAAGAATGTTTTTCAAGGGGGAAAAATTGCACCCTAGCATGGCTTAAAAGACATACCTCTGTTCTGCTCCCCTCAGTTCTCCGCCCTTCAATCAGCTCTCTTCCTCCAGGCCCACTCCTCATCTTCTTGATCAGACAGAGTCCACTCCTGCTCAGAGCTTGGCGCTAACAAGGGTGGCCCTCGCTACCTGGAATACTGGGATCTTCATGGGTTGGCTGCTCTTTCGTTCAAAGTGCAGCTCAAATCCCTCTCTACCAATCTAAAGCAGCCATCCAGTCATACCCTTACAGTGTCTGAGTTCAGCCTGTGCTCTGCACCTGTCTGACTGATCATTTTCCCCTTTATTTACATCCATCTGTTTCCCCCTCTCATCTTCAATTTCACAAGAGGGGGACTTGACACACTTATCCCAGCTGTATGGACCTCAAGGGTCTAAACCCTAGGCCACTCTGTGAATACAGCAGATACTCAACAAGTATTTGTACTGTAAATGTTGGCTGTTGTTACTTTCTATCATTACTGCTAGCAGGAGGGTCCTTTATGGCTAAT